TGCTGCTGTCCTTGTTGTTGCTGTCCAGGTGGCCCAAGTTTGCAGCTCAGGAGTCTCTCATTCTGCAATGCGACATTCAGTGCCGAAGATGATGATGGCTGCGCTCAACTATGAAACTTCGGCTCTTGGAGCTGCTCTGCCATGGCATCTCTACTCTTCGCCTGCTGTGTGCGGCAGGTTCCACCTCTACTGTACGTAGCTGGCCCACCAAATAAGGACGTAGGAAAGCGTGTCCCAAAGGGGCAAAGCTGCAAGTATGGCTTCGACCAGAGGATGCGCAACTCCTTGGACACCTCAGGAAAGATTCGGAACCCTAAACCCCTAAACCTCTAAACCCTGAACCCCAAAAAACCCTATAAACCCCAGAAAACCCTATAAACCCTAAGCCCAAAGATTCGGGTCGTTGAAGTTTGGGGATCCTTTTAGGGAACTCAAGAAGTCTCGCGGCCAGGAGACTGCCAAGCATCCCCCGAGGCCTGATGACATCGGTTTAGGGTTTATAGGGGGTTTTGGGTTTTTGGGGGTTTATAGGGTTTAGGCTTTTGGGGGTTTAGGGTTTAGGGTTTATAGGGGGTTCTGGGTTTATAGGGTTCATAGGGTTTAGGCTTTAGGGGGTTTAGGGTTTAGGGGGTTGAGGGTTATAGGGTTTAGGGTTTAGGGCTCGCTTGCCCATGATGGGAAAAAAACGCAGGACATGGCCCACCGTGGAGTCTCGCCCACATGTTCAAGCCTCACTTAGGAAACGGCAGTGCAACATGGACTCGCAAGGCACGGTCTCTTGCGGTAGGATCAATTGTTGCTTACCCGGAGGTCTTCAGATTAGCTCTGGCCTGGTCTGAAACAGAAGCTTGTGATGCCAGAAAGGGCGTCCTAAACCCGGCCCGTGTCTCGCTTTCGCTTAGATGCCCACAAGAAGAAGTCCTATCAGCAGTTGAGAGCGGCTGCTGCGAGTTGCCTCCTCTCCCCGTCCCACTAAACGCAAGCCAAGTGGCCATAAATGCCCCGCTCCATCAACTCCTCATCCACTTGGTTGATGCCTCGCAGTGCTGTGGGTTTCCAAAGCTTGCCGACCTGCAACCCTTCGCTAGGCCCGCCGGGCTTTGAAAGGATTTGTTCCCCAGTCTTTGGCTCTTCGAGCTTTGGCCCAAACTGAACCAAAACTGAGTCGTGGAGACCCTGGCGACGCGAAGGTCATGTCGGGACTTTTGTGAGATGGACCACTCCGTGCGCGAGCTGATAGATTGAGCCCTTTCGCGGCGTCAGATACTGTAGTGATTGTCATGTTTGCACATGGAAAGCTCTATTGAAGCAGAAACTGTACAACGACTAGGCCTCCCAACACTAACCTGAAGCGCTTGATCGTATGTGCTGCAAGTAGGGCTAGTGTCCTCGAAGGGCCATCATGTCAGGTATCTTGTGCAAGGGAATTTTGCTCTCGACATCGACCAACTGTAACAGGCCGGGATACTGACAATGTCCAGGAAGCAGTCTTTGGTCCCCCCGGGAGCTGCAATAGCTATGACCACGGGCGCGAAATTTGCCAAGAAGAGACCCCAAGCTCCTGCACTGGAGCTACAGGCAAATCTACGCCATCTACTACCATCACCGTTCTTCATTGCATGCTTTCTGTCTGCATGTCGCATGTCCTACCTTGTCAAGCCTGACACAAGGTAAAGCTTGTCTGCAGACCCTAACTCGCTTGAAGAAGGCACCCTACCCCGCGCTCCAAAAGGGAAGACATAGCTGTCGCCTTCGAAAACAGCCTGGGCTTTCTTTCTCCGCTTGGGAGGATTCCCAACCCGAAAGGTTGTGCATCCTCTACCGGGGGTCTTGGTGTCCTGACACGCTTTTGGATGCAAGGTTGGCCAATGCACTACCGTCCAGTTAAAAGTCGCCAGTCACGAGGACAGGTTCAGGATCCGAAGCCCTAGGACTAAGACTAAGACCCTACTATGAAAGGGGCCGCAGGGCCACATGTGGCAGCCTTCCGCACAGGGTTTTGACGTCGACGAGTCAACATATCCGCTGCACAATGATGCCGAGGCACTGTGAAGTTCATATGGGACGGAAGAATATCAAAGAAAGCTAGAGTCTCAACGAGAATCATTGCCATGAGCCAGCTAAGCAAGAGCCGCTGCCATCCACACTGCAGAGTCAAAGCCAAGAACTTCCACAACCCTCCAGTTCGCCAAGTGTGCGACAGAAACAAATCAAAGGATTCCAGCTGCCTTGAACGATCCCACATCGCAGCCCGAAGTTCTTCGGACAGGTCCATGGGAGAGCGGCGCCAAAGCCGACCAAAACCCCTCAGTGTATCTTTGACGGAAACACCGCGAAGGATCTCGAGGTCTGGAACCAACGCGTCGCGCAAAAGCAGGCTACGGCGGCTCCGCCCTTTTCTGGGCACAGATTCGTCTCCAACATCCTGAGCCTGCGAGTCATTGTCATCTGGGTTGGGAGCCCGCGGTGCAGGTGCAGGCGTTATGGAAGTCACCTCAACATCAACTTCTTGGTCTTTTGAACAATGGCAGGCACTCGCGCTGGCGGTCGCTCCCATGGCGCGTTGCTGCGTGCCCCGGATGGCTGCGGCACAACTCTTCCAAATGCGCTAACCAACCGGCCTTTACATATCACATACGTACACATACGTGCACATGCACATCCACATCATACATACACATACATACACATGCACACAAACATCAATGCATACATTCATACATTTTATTACGCTACCTTCCATTGAAAATCATACTGTTGCATGGGATTGCATAGTAAGGCATGGCAGGCATGGTATTGCAATACACAGGTACATACATACATACATACATACATACATACGTACGTACGTACGTACGTACGTACATACATACACATACATACATACATACATACATACATACATACATGTGTACGAAAGTTACATAGTTACATACCTAGGTTTCTACATTAATAAAGATACATGCATGCATACACAGACACATGCATGCAGGCATGACGCATTTCCTTCTGGGCCCTCGAAACTCTGGGCGGCATGGTTCAAAGCACCTTGTTGCTGATGTTGTGAAGCAGATTCCCTGCATGGGCCTGAGCTGGAAGGCTTTCGAGTCAGCGCCTTTGCGTGGCTTTCGCACGGTGCAGGCGACATGTTGAGAGCCGCCTGCGTGGTTCCCTTGAGTCCCAGGCCGGCAGTGACCGACCATGCCAGACGTGTCTCCACCATCTTCGACCTATGAGTGCCGAAGGGTCAGTGCTTGTAGGGCAAATGCCCACCCCTCTCTGGCGCTGTGTTCATGCCGGGGCAGACTTGGTCAACAAGGCAGCGTTTTGTAAGCCGCTCACCCCTCGCACCGCAGCTGACGAACTTTAATCAGCATCCTGCGACACCGGCATGACGGAGTTGCAAACACGGACGAGGATGCAGCTACCTAGCACGGGCATCAGCATGATGGAGCCTCTGAGTCCGATGTCACACCGTCGTCTTTGCCTGCCTTAGTTAGAGAGAGAGAGAGAGAGAGAGAGAGAGAGAGAGAGAGTGCGAGAGAATGGACTCACTTCTAGACTCCTCACATCTCAACGAGTTGACACCTGGGCTCTCCAGCAAAGGACACTGGCCGCAGTGCCAGGAAAAGCAAATGACTTGTCACAGTTTCGGCAGCAATGTCTGAACAAATATGTAGTTCTGGGCTGGAGCTGAGAGCTATTGCAACGAAGCTTGCATTTCCTACCTGAGACTACCAATACCGTAAATAATGCTCGGCAACTTCCATGTCGTGGTTCTCCTGGCGAGTTCTCGAACTGAAAGTACTTCAGCTATTCTAGCTACAGCCCTCAATCCTGACTAAGGTAAACCCAAGGCCCATCGTCCTAGCAACCAACTCTATCGTGACTTACATGGACTCATACCATCCTCTTCTTTGTTTGGGAGTATCCATATTTTGGGCACGAGTTCTACTGAATCTACTACAGTGAGAAACGTAGGTATCCTAGAAAAAAGGCAAAGTATGCAACTGCACCAGAAAGCTAAAGCTTTTAAAGGCTACTCCACATATAGCCTTGATAGCAAGCTCTTTGAAGACTCATGCTACCCGCTATGTGTATAAATCAGATTAACAAGCCCGCCCTGACTAAACGGGACCAGCTCGAGCTCTCGGGCTGCGGTGTTGCTTGATTTTCAATTGACCTATAATCTATATATATATATATTTATGTTCATATTTGTTTAGTTATTTACTTGTTCATTTGTATATATTCATACTTATACTTATACTTCTAAATTGTATTTATAAGGCTGAAAAATCTCAAAGCAAACCCCTCGATTGGACGGGCTCGTCCGGAGACAATGAACGTCGATGCCTCTCTGGGTTTCCAGGAAGCGCTGACAAGACAGCCCCGCTGCGGCCCACACCGAAGCAGTACAGTACAGAACACCAAGGCTCTCCCCTTTTCTTGGGGCGCCCCCCCTCCCTCCGCGAATATGGAGAAGGAAGCAGTCTAATGGCGATGCGGCATGTGCATAATTGGGCCGGATAATCATTGAACCATTGTCATATTTGTGTCGAACTGCCATGCTCGATGCCAAGCCGCTGATTTGATTCCGTTGCTCTTCTCGAGAACGCGCTAGCATCAAGATCAGAAAAACAGCAGCATGCTAATTTAGATCCAACGAGTACGCGCTTGGACTCAGGAGATGCAAGAATACGTTGGATGGTGAGCCTGCCCATGACCCCTTTCTACCACTTGAAGTCTCTCAGAGACATGTTCAGTCGCGCGGGTGCTTCAAAAGTGTCTGTTCAGCATTATCAGAAGTAGATTGTCATTACAGTACAACCCCACATGAAGGGCCTTGGTAAGCGTGGTACAATTGGGCTGCAAGGCTCCGAGTTTCAAGTTATGGGGGTTTACGGTTCACCGTTCTCGACGAGCCAGACTCGAGGACTCTCCTTTCTGCTTCTGTTCTGGTCAGCCCTTCGATGCTCATGACCCACCCCCTCTCTTTTTCAAACATGAGAGCATGTCTTCCTTGACCCAGCTGGGTCAAGGACGAGCAGGTCAGAGACTTCCGCGACACGCTCCAGGCTTGCCAGGACCTGGCATTGCTTTTTTTTTGGGGCTGCCGGGAGAGGCTGTGAGGGAGCAGCCTGCGGGATGAGACTTGGCTGCGACCGCGCCCATGTCAAAGCCGGCTCACCGAACCTCCAAGGGGTTCAGGGATGAAACAAACTGGAAACGAAACACTAACCATCCTTACTATCAGAAGATCTCTGTAGCTGTCTGGTTAAGTTCTTTGGTCTTGGCTCCAAGCTTGTGCCAGCGCAGACCAATTTGGCGCAGGCACATCTCCCGCAGGGTACAGACCGGCGCGGGCCGCCGGTGAGCATCTGCAATGTTGAATTCCCAAGCTTCACCACTGCGCCAAAGACTGACATCAGAAGCCAACATGAAAGAAGCTGCTTGGGCCTTTGAAGCCCAATCCTCGGAAGAAAGGATGCTCCTGTGCCGACGAGGTTCCAAACTTTTCCAGGTGCCCCGGGCCTTGCAGCTGCTCTCCTCCACTTCTCGCAAATCCTTTGCACCCAGTCGGGCGTCTGGATCCTGTCTGGATGCGTTTCGCCAGGCTAGCCAACAAAAACACGCACAACTGAGAGACACACCTTGACCACCATACTTTGGATCAGGTCAACAGCATCGTCTTTCAGCCATTTGCTGGGAAACTCCAAGACACCTTTGCCTGATTCACGGTCAAACTTCTGGAACACTTCTGGAACACCAGCTTTTGGAGCTTTCCCTTATATGGACTAGACTCTCGGAAGCAGGCTGATCTTCTTGTAGACTCGCACGATGGACCTGAGGGCTTCCAGCGCACATCCTGCTTCAGGCAAGTGCTGCTTGAGGTGCCGACCCACCATGAAAGGGCGGAAGACCAGCGAGAACTTGGAATACCTGCAACAGGAATGCAGCATTCTTCCACCTCCACTCAAGCCCGAGGGCCCGAGGGCGAGGGACCAGGCATCCCAGTGACCAGGTGTCGGATCGAAAGTCGGAAGACAAGTTCTTCACCACCTGAGCAGCTAGGCAGGCGCTTTCATGCGGCAGGCTGGAGTCAAGAGAACAGGCCTCCGGAGCCATGAAGTTTGAAGTCCCCACGTACTCCTGAAAACATGCAGGTAGACTTGCATGCCACGCCAATTCGGTTTCCACTCCCCAAACAACGCAGTAAACAGAAAAAGTGCAAACACGTTTGCTTTCATCTGCTGGTCGTCGAGGCTCACCTGTGGCTGGACAGTCGGCATTATGACCGTGAACTCGAGAGGGCAAAATCACACCCGTTGTGGGAGGGTGGAAATATCTTCTTTTCGGTGTGATCCTGACAAAAGACGGCTACGAATACACCTGTTTCAGTACCCACCAACCACACTCCCTGAACAACCGCCATAGGCAGAAGTGCAGCTGAAGTCTACCTCTCCAACCAAGTGAACTCCTCCCACACGACTGTCAGCCCGCTCAGAAAAGGGGGGCCGAAGAAAGGAACCTGTTTGTGATCTTGTCTTGACCCCAGATTGCTATGAACACACCTGTTTCACTACCCACCATCCACGCTTCAAAATTGTCACTAAAGCAACCGCAGGCGAATGTGTTTCCCCATCAGCCATGCCGTACCGTGTCAAACTCATGTCATATTATGAACTATGATGTTGCTTGCATCCAGGGGCGGTCCTCCATGACAGTCTTGAAGTTTCGAGTCCCCGCTCCCTTCACCTGCACCAGGTCTCCCGATGTGAGAAGAGGTCTATAGAATCGTCGCAATTGCCTGCGGGTTCGCCAAATCCCTGGCACTGCCAAAGTCAATGAGCTTGCAGTTGCCTTGCCCATGCCAGGGTGGAGCAGGGGCAACGCCTCAATTCGCCTGCCTCGCGGTCCAATGAGCACGTTCTCTGCCCTGCAGTTCACGACTTATACGTCACATAAGTTCGCTAACCACTTGCGCGCAGTGAACTCTTACGGCCTCCGGCTTCAAGATTTTCAGAGTGCTAGGGCTTCAGAAATACAGGATTTAACATGGCGACCTCTGTCGGAAGAGAGTTGCCACAAATTTCCATGTCAGGAAGCACCGAAATCCTAGGTCGGCCTGGGTTTTGCCAAATTGAGCGACCGAAGCCGAGGTGCTTCAGATCCCTGTGGACAATCCGTGCATCTCTCAGGTACTGGACCTTATTCGTTTCGCTTCAAGGAGAGAATCTGCTGCAGGGATCGACCCACCCAGGTCTCCGGCTGCTTCGAAGACCTGGCAGAGGCAGTGCCTGCGCATGAGAAAGGCAGGCTTTCGCTAAAGCGGCGCCGCTAAAACGGCTGCTCTTCTCTGGCCTCCCAAGGCTCTCTGGGCAGCCGACGGCACGGGACAGGCTCCAAAGCTCGCCCTCGATGTGGGACTCTCTGTTTTGATAGTACAAACTTATAAGCTAGCCGGGTGGCGAACGCCAGGACAGAGCTCCAAAGTAAAGTAGTGCCACTCCTGCTGCGTCGCTTGCAGAGCACTGCAAAAACTGAGAACTTTCCCGAATTTCTTAGATTCTTGCTGCGCCTCGTCTCTAAAGGACGCATGAAGCTTGACCTTTTTCAGAAGGAGCGGAAAAAGGCTCAGTCCACTGGCAACCCCACGGGCATTGCACAAGAGCCCTGCAAACGCATTCTATCCCAAAATGTCGCTATAGCTCTAACTAGTGCTTCTTATCGTTTTTGTCCATGAATATTCGTTGTGTTATCAGTAATTATTCATCTGCTCTTCTTATCGTTTTACCATATCGGGGAAAACCCATCCAGAACCGAACAGCGACATGCCCGCGACATGTCAGGACTGAACCTAAAGGTAAGCTGCGGGGTTACCCATAGGCTCCATAGTAGTTCCTTTTTGAGATTACCGTATAGGATCCTAAATATAAACCACACCAGGAACTACTATGGAGCCTATGGGTACAGGGAAGGCTCCTTGGGTCTCAGCAACTCAGCTCGCTGCAATTCCGGGATGGTTAGCTCTTCGCAAGCAGTGCTCCTGAATACCCAGATTGGGGTTTATAGTTTATAGGGTTTAGGGCTTATAGGGTTTCAGGGTTTAGGGTTTCAGGGTTTAGGGTTTATAGGGTTTAGGGTTTCAGGGTTTAGGGGAATCCCACTGAAGTGCGATCGAGACTTGGAAGGGCTCTATACCTTGACATCTGAGCCAGCAGACT